GTTGGTGGGGGCTGTGAGGTGTGTGGGAGGGTCACATGTTGTGGTTTGGGGGAGGAAGGGTCAAGTTGTGGTTTTGGGGGAGTGTCACAAGTTGTGGTTGTGGTGTGGGGGAGGAAGGGCGGAGTCACAAGTTGTGTTGTGGTGTGTGGAGGTGGAAGGGTGGGTTCACAGTTGTGGTTGTGGTGGAGGAAGGTGTGGCGTAACAAGTTGTGGTTGTGCGTGTGGGGAGGAAAGTGAGGGTCTCAAGTTGTGGGTTGTGGTGTGGAGGAAGGAGGGTGGGTCACAGGTATGTGGAATATTCAGCTCTGAAAGAGACTGGAGTCTCACGATGTTCAACAAGGACGCTTGCAGTATTTACTGAATGTATCACAGACATTACCCAACACGATGGTTACTTACAATCATCATTCCATAACTTATATTAAAATTATTTCCAAAAGGAATAATGTTATTAATAAGTTATAGAATACAAGATATTTATATCAATAACCACCATGGACACACGAGTTCGTGTACGTGTGTGGGGCCGTTGGTAGGTGTGTGACTTTACTTCTACTTTCTGTGTCCCTTGGGTGTGGTTATCTTGAAGATTATGCACACAGTTCTGGTATCCCGGACATTATAATTACTATAAACATGGGGGAAGCGCACTAAAGCTTATACACATCTCTGTAGGGATGGGATAAAAAAAAAAAAAAAAACCCTTGTACTGATGGTATAACCTTGTACATTTTACTGTTAGTAAATAAAGATATGATGGAGCCATTTGGTACCTTGGGATAATCCAAGGAATTCATTATTTACCTTGCTCCTATGTCAAAATTAATATTACAAACATCATTGTCCTTTACCACAAGTGCCCAATTCGAAGAATTTTTAGTGAGGGTCAGGGTAGCTAGGGACACTCAGGGACAGCCTCTGTTCCAAACATTGCAACAGGATGATAAATTAGACACATGTGCAACTCTTGGGTATCTTTATTGAGGAAACGTTTCGCCACACAGTGGCTTCATCAGTCCATACATAGGAGAAACTTGTGACACTACCTATGACTGCTACACCTCTCCTGCCATACGGTTTATAAGCTGCTTCTCCGCTCATCTGCCGTATTCTACTCAAGATTGCTGGACTGAACACATCGACTCAAGGTTGAAGGACTGATTACCTCATTCTCCTCCTGTTCTTCAAGTTTCTCCTACGTATGGACTGATGAAGCCACTGTGTGGCGAAACGTTTCCTCAATAAAGATACCCAAGAGTTGCACATGTGTCTAATTTATCAACATGTCTGTTCTCTGAACCATTCATCTACAAAGCAACAGGACGCGAGATCCTGCTGGTCACTGGTCCCTCGTTTAATTAAACACTAAAATGGGGCATAAATTGGAAACTTGTGAAAGAAAATTGATTTCCTACCAATTTATCTTATAATTGTAAGATATTCAAGAGGCATTTAAAGGTTTACCAGACTTACCTTTAGTCAGGAAGACAAGCTGAGGTTGGTAGGCAAGATAGAAGCGAGGTGGACCCACGCCCACGCCCACGCCAGTCTAGTACAACGTCAAATACAGAATAATCTCTCACTAAGTAACATAAAAGGCACAATACTGTGACTGGAACGATACACAAATAACCCGCACATAATACACACAGTGACAAAGTGACTTTGTCAATGGTCCAAGTCGGACCGAAACGTCGTCGTAAGCTTCTCTCTTTTATGTGCGGGTTATTTGTGAATCTTTCACTAGTTATGCAGATAATTGTACACTCCTGAAGCTCGGTAATGTAATTAACCCATTATTATATTCATATTGCGATTATGATAATGGGAACGAAAATAACCTTTCACTAATTGCGTCATTAATCAGTTTACAATACCAGTATAACTGCGATCCATCTTTGTAATCCTCATGGCACTGTGTTGCACTCACTACTAGTCTGGTCATGGCACTGTGTTGCGCTCACTACTAGTCTGGTCATGGCACTGTGTTGCGCTCACTACTAGTCTGGTCATGGCACTGTGTTGCGCTCACTACTAGTCTGGTCATGGCACTGTGTTGCGCTCACTACTAGTCTGGTCTATGGCACTGTGTTGCACTCACTACTAGTCTGGTCATGGCACTGTGTTGCGCTCACTACTGGTCTGGTCATGGCACTGTGTTGCACTCACTACTAGTCTGGTCATGGCACTGTGTTGCGCTCACTACTGGTCTGGTCATGGCACTGTGTTGCACTCCACTACTAGTCTGGTCATGGCACTGTGTTGCACTCACTACTAGTCTGGTCATGGCACTGTGTTGCACTCACTACTAGTCTGGTCATGGCACTGTGTTGCGCTCACTACTGGTCTGGTCATGGCACTGTGTTGCACTCACTACTGGTCTGGTCATGGCACTGTGTTGCACTCACTACTGGTCTGGTCATGGCACTGTGTTGCACTCACTACTAGTCTGGTCATGGCACTGTGTTGCGCTCACTACTAGTCTGGTCATGGCACTGTGTTGCGCTCACTACTAGTCTGGTCATGGCACTGTGTTGCACTCACTACTAGTCTGGTCACTGTGGTCACGTCAGTCTTGAGGCCTCACATCACGTCCGACTCTCAAAGGTTCACTTGAAACGCCGCTCTGGACTCGCCCTAGTTGTCAAAATACACTTGGCCTGTTTTGTTTGCTTGTGTGTGTACTCACCTATATGTACTCACCTATATGCGGTTGCAGGGGTCGAGACTCAGCTCCTGGCCCCGCCTCTTCACTGATCGCTACTAGGTCCTCTCTCTCCCTGCTCCATGAACTTTATCATACCTCGTCTTAAAGCTATATGTGGTTCCTGCCTCCACTACATCACTTCCCAGACTATTTCACTTCCTGACAACTCTATGAAGAAATTCTTCCTAACATCCCTGTGACCCCTTGTCTCTGTGTCCCATCTCTGGAACATCCTATGTCCATCTTATCTATTCCACGCAGTATTTTGTATGTCATAATCATGTCTCCCCTAACCCTCCTGTCCTCCAGTGTCGTCAGGCAGATTTCCCTTAACCTTTCTTCCTAGGACATTCCCCTTAGCTCTGAAATTAGCCTTGTTGCAAACCTTTGCACTTTCTCTAATTTCTTGACGTGCTTGACCAGGTGTGGGTTCCAAACAGGTGCTGCATACTCCAGTATGGGCCTGACGTACACGGTGTACAGTGTCTTGAACGATTCCTTACTAAGGTATCGGAACGCTGTTCTCAGGTTTGCCAGGCGCCCATATGCTGCGGCAGTTATCTGGTTGATGTGTGCCTCCGGAGACATGCTCGGTGTTATGGTCACCCCAAGATCTTTCTCGAGCGAGGTTTGCAGTCTTTGGCCACATAGCCTATGCTCTGTCTGCGGTCTTCTGTGCCCTTCCCCGATCTTCATGACTTTGCATTTGGCAGGGTTAAATTCGAGAAACCAGTTGCTGGACCATGTGTCCAGCCTGTCCAGGTCTCTTTGTAGTCCTACCTGATCCTCATCTGATTTAATTCTCCTCATTAACTTCACATCGTCTGCGAACAGGGACACTTGTGAGTCTATCCCTTACATCATGTCATTCACATATTCCAAGAATAGCACTGGTTCTAGGACTGACCCATGTGGGACCCCACTCATCACAGGTGCCCATTGTGATACCTCATCACGTACCATGACTCATTGTTGCCTCCCTGTCAGGTATTCTCTGATCCATTGCAGTGCCCTTCTTGTTATACGTGCCTGATCCTCCAGCTTCTGCACTAACCTCATGTGAGGAACTGTGTCGAAGGCCTTCCTGCAGTCCAGGAAAAAGCAATCAACCCACCCCTCTCTCTCGTGTCTTACTTCTGTTACTTGTCATAGTGTGTGTGTGTGTGTGTGTGTGTGTGTGTGTGTGTGTGTGTGTGTGTGTGTGTGTGAGTGTACTCACTTAGTTGTACTCACCTAGTTGAGGTTGCGGGGGTCGAGTCCGAGCTTCTAGCCCCGCCTCTTCACTGATCGCTACTAGGTCACTCTCCCTGAGCCGTGAGCTTTATCATACCTCTGCTTAAAGCTATGTATGGATCCTGCCTCCACTACATCGCTTCCCAAACTATTCCACTTACTGACTACTCTGTGGCTGAAGAAATACTTCCTAACATCCCTGTGATTCATCTGTGTGTGTGTGTGTTTGTGTAGGTGTGTGTGTGTGTGTGTGTGTGTTTGTGTGTGTGTGTGTGTGTGTGTGTGGTGTGTGTGTGTGTGTGTGTGTGTGTGTGTGTGTGTGTGTTAATAAAACAAACACAAGCATTTTTTATTTAATATTATATTCACATAAACATTTGTTAAACCATCTAGTTATTTATATAACAGTTCTACTGCAACTTACAGCTAAGTTGTAAATATTACCTGGACCTCTGTCGAAATAATCCACTTTGACTTTATCGGTTTATTCTAGGTAATTTACATATATGTCCCTATGTATGGTAATTATACTTGTGTGTACCTGTATCTGTATTACCCAGGTACCAATTTACCTTCTTAAGAACCTGAACCCTGCAGGTACATACATCCAGGTGTTTTCCGGGTCTTGTTGACTGGTAGCTTCAGCTCAAATCTAATCAAATTCAAATTTTTATTTCCAGGGAAAATTTACGTGTGATTGACATGTTATAAGGAGTCTTATTTCCATACATGGTTTACAATGTGTAATTTCAATATTGATTTACAAGTGCAAAGAAAGCCACTGTCATGCCGAGGCATTTGGGGCAGACATCTGCAACATCTGCAATGTTGCATTACGTCCAACACCCAAGAACAAAACTCGCGTCCTAAGAGAAAGTCAGTGTTGTAAATGCTGTATACAGATGTATAGAGTCATGTGTTGTGGTCTGTCTGCTTTCCCTGTTTTCTGTCTGCTTCCAGTGTTATCTGTCTGCTTCCAGTGTTTTCTGTCTGCTTCCAGTGTTTTCTGTCTGCTTCCATTGTTGTCTATCTGCTTCCATTGTTGTCTGTCTGCTTCCAGTGTTGTCTGTCTGCTTCCAGTGTTGTCTGTCTGCTTCCAGTGTTTTCTGTCTGCTTCCAGTGTTTTCTGTCTGCTTCCAGTGTTTTCTGTCTGCTTCCATTGTTGTCTATCTGCTTTCATTGTTGTCTGTCTGCTTCCAGTGGTGTCTGTCTGCTTCCAGTGGTGTGTCTGCTTCCAGTGGTGTCTGTTTGCTTCCAGTGGTGTCTGTTTGCTTCCAGTGGTGTCTATCTGCTTCCAGTGTTGTCTCTCTACTTCCAGTGTTGTCTGGTCTTGGCTTACTAACAACGAACATCTTCAGTCAGCTGTGTCAGCTGTGTGAGCTCCTCTCTCGTGATACTTGTACTGCTGTTATCATCCACACTGCCATAACAAAACGTAAATATTCACATATAACTACTGATACTGTGTTAACTCGTGTTATTATCATGTACACACCATCCGGTGTGACTGCGGTCCCGCACATATGTCAAAAAATCTCCAGACTTGCTGCAAGAATTTACAGTGAACCTATAATGCAGCAGAACCATTGTAGGAACAACCGTTTTACGTTGTTTGGGTGTTAGGTCAATATTACTGGTTCTTGTTCTAATCTTGTAAATGATGGATGTCAGGGCTGCCTGACATCAATTTGATATATTTATGTTTTATTTATTTTTTAATTTTATCTAAAACGATTACCAGTGGAATTATGTTGTATGTAAATCCTATCATATTCAGCTTAATATGTTTTATTATTAACTGTTTTAACTGGTATTTGAGGATAATAGACTGTTCCTTCCAATTCAGTTCTATAATCTGTCTATTCATTATCTTCTTCTTCGAAGAATGAGAGTGTCCTCAGCTCGTCCTCGCCATATTCCTTACTGATGGTCTTTCTCAGCCAGCCGACGTAGTGTGCCACCTCTGTGTAAACACCTGGAATTCCCTCTGTGGCACAGCCGATCCCCCAGGAGGTGATGCCTGTCAGTCTGCAGGAAGCCAGGTCTTCGGTGGAGTTGGTGCAGCACACTAGAGGGCCTCCAGAGTCACCCTGGAGACAACAAGGAGAACTATGAGGGCGGTTGAGTGTATAACAATTTAACTGATCTCTTATACCAGCTAAACTTAGTATCTTTGATCGTTGGAACATTATACAGACATAACACGACCAGCAGGAACATTATACAGACATAACAAGACCAGCAGGAACATTATACAGACATAACAAGACCAGCAGGAACATTATACAGACATCACAAGACCAGCAGGAACATTATACAGACATAACACGACCAGCAGGAACATTATACAGACATAACAAGACCAGCAGGAACATTATACAGACATAACAAGACCAGCAGGAACATTATACAGACATAACACGACCAGCAGGAACATTATACAGACATAACACGACCAGCAGGAACATTATACAGACATAACACGACCAGCAGGAACATTATACAGACATAACACGACCAGCAGGAACATTATACAGACATAACACGACCAGCAGGAACATTATACAGACATAACACGACCAGCAGGAACATTATACAGACATAACACGACCAGCAGGAACATTATACAGACATAACACGACCAGCAGGAACATTATACAGACATAACAAGACCAGCAGGAACATTATACAGACATAACACGACCAGCAGGAACATTATACAGACATAACACGACCAGCAGGAACATTATACAGACATAACACGACCAGCAGGAACATTATACAGACATAACACGACCAGCAGGAACATTATACAGACATAACACGACCAGCAACACTCATGTAACCAATGACGACTCACATTCATTACAACTTCTAACTGTTACCACATTTATTACCAGTGGGTATCAGTGGTACCATGTTTGGTCCACAACCAAGAAGCCTCCAGAGTCTGGAGGCTTCGTCTAGAGTCCAGACGAATCCTTGGAGAAGAGAAATTAACAAGTCTTCTACCATGTGACTATGCCCTCGTCTGCTACACGTCCCTCTTCACTGACGCCTATATAAGCACCAGTCTCCTTACCTGTGCTTCAGAATCTCTACAACCACGGTGCTCTAAACACCACCTCCAAGGCTGAGGGACTGATTACCTCATCTTTTGTATATAGTTCTTCTGTTTTCTTATTATGTCCAAGAATCTGTATTGATAAAGCCACTGGAGGGCGAAACGTCTACAATAAAGATAACCAGATGTTGCACAAGTGTCTTAACTTTCATCAAGTCTTATACCACTAACTATTCCTATTAACAATGAATACATTCCTATCAGTTAGTGGACTGTTGAGACAGTCATCCTGGGGACGACAAACACAAGACCCCTATTAAAATAACCCACATTGCTTGCCTTTTTCTTGGGGGGGGGGAGAGGGGGAGGAGGTTTATCCTAGGTTATCAATCATCCTGGTCATTAATCCGAAGAAAGTGATCATCCACAGCATGAAAAAACTAACCTAATACTTCCAGTAACAGACTAATGAACCATTGACAGTAACATTAATGTATCCGGTGTAATTTAGTCCAAGTATTATGTAATGGGTAGGGGACTTATTAACTAATTTTTAAATTTATATATATATATATTTTAAAATTATATATAATATATATATTATATATATTATTATAAATATTATATATATTATTATATGTCGTGCAATTGTAAATGGTCAATTGCAAAAACTATTTAAAATTAAGCCCTTTTTTGAAATTTTCTTTATAGTTTAAAGATTTTTTTTTCATTTTTTGTTAATGTAAAAAATTTATAATTTTCACCAAAAGAATTTTTGAAAATTACCTAACCTTATTATAACAGAAAATTTATTTAGCCTAACCAACTAAAATATATTTTAAATACTTTGACAAAATTTTTGTACTAAACAAACCAATAAAACATTTTTTTTCGTTAGGTTCGAATGATTTTGGCGAAATTATTGCATACACAAATTTTTACTTGTCCTATATGGCAAGATGGCGTTGCTTTTAGCCAAAATCGCAAGTTTGCCTTTTGGGACGAATATAATATATATATTATATTTTATATATATATATATTTATTTATATATATATATTATATTATTATATTATATATATATATATATTATAATGGCCTAAAATGTACCACTCAGATCTTTCTTATGAGAAATTTAAATAGAGAAGGAAAAATTACATTGTTCATTACTCTCCGTACATCTGATATTTTTGTAACAAACACGATCTGATAATTAGGTTGATAACAGTGCACTTTTATGAGGGGTGAGTGCAGTGTGTGGGGCCGGAGCTAAGCTGGCCTCTACCACTGTGTGGGGCCGGAGCCCTAGTGGCCCCCCTCACTGGGGGGAGCCAGGAACCCTGCTGGCCTCACTTCCCCCTGGTGGGGGCCAGGAGCCACTAGTGGCCTCCCCCCCCTGATGGGGGAGGAACCATAGTGGCCTCACCACCCCCTGTGTGGGGCCCGGGGCCATGTGGCCCCCCCTCACTGGGGGGGGGGAGGAAAACCCCTAGCTTTCCCCACCCCCTGGAGGGTCCAGGGGAGCCATGCTGGCCCCCACCTCCACAGTATTTCCCTTGCATTTCTAACGTTCCGGGTGCCACAGGTACAAGGTACAATCCCGGGGGAGTCCAGGTCTTTACTTTGTTTTCCCTTTTTACCCATTAAAAAACTAGGTTTTAGTAATAAACCATACCCCGGGCGGGGATGAACACCCCGACGGTTTGAAGTTTTTAGACTCTGACCGCGGGTTTTTTTTCCCCACCCGTGGTATGGTTTGTTTGCAACGTGTCATCACGATTTTGTGGTCATGCTCCTAGGAGTTTCCCGACTATTTTTAAGTCACATCCCGGGGTCGTCCACATGGTGTCCCTGGTTCGATCCCCTGTACATGTGGAAAAATCGGGCCTGTTTCCTTAAGACACCTGCTGTCCCTATTCACCTAGCAGTAAGTAGGTACCTGGGTGTTACCTGACAGGTGTGGGTCGCATCCTGGGGACAAAATTAACCTAAGTTGCAGGAAATGATCTACATAACCAGAAGCTTTCAGTATAGTATATCACTGATGTGAGCTATGGTCTGTATAAGTTGAATCATGTACTTGTAGAAATAAAGATTATTATTATTATTATTATTATTATTATTATTATTATTATTATTATTATTATTATTATTATCATTATTATCCAGTAAGGGGTTAGATAAATACATGAGTGGGTGTGGGTGGGTGTGAGTTGGACCTGATTAGCTTGTGCTACTGGGTCAATTGCCGTGTTCCTTGGAAATAAATGGTATAAAATACCGACACAATGGCAATATAAACACAAATGCAGTATAATGTGATCCTTTATTGACTACGTTTCGCCCACACAGTGGGCTTTTTCAAGTCACAAACAGAACTACCTGGGGTGGAAGGAACGCGAGTATTTATAGTCCGGCTGAGGTCAGGTGAAGAAAGCTGCATCTGATGATGTTCCGAGTTGGGTTGTAGAGTCTAAAAACTTGGGTAGCTTGGAAAGGAGACTGGACAAGTTTGTGAGCAGACCTTCTACAGTGTTCTTATGTGGGATAGCGATGAAGAAGTTTCTTGGCAAGTGGTTCAGCTATGTTATAGAAGCCACTATTCTGGTTGAAGTTGTCGGATATAGAAATAAGTGATGATTCCAGGATTCTTCGGTATTGGGTGTTGTCTTCTGTGGCGATAAGTCTTGAGTTTCTGTAGTTTATCAAGTGGTTGTGTGAATTACGGGTGTTGTACGCAGGCATTCCTTGTGTCGTCAGACCTGCTTGCGTATTGGTGTTCTGAAATACGTGTTTGGAGGTCCCTTGATGTTTCGCCCACGTATAACTTGTTGCAGTCATTACAAGGGATTATGTATACCCCTGCAGAGGATGGAGGCTTGTCCTGCCTACTACTGGTGATGTCCTTGATGGTCGTGGTTGTGGAGGTAGATACTTGGAATGATGTTTTGGCAAAGATGTTGGAAACATGTTTGGCAATGGAGTTGGTGGGAAGGACTATGTATCTCTTCTCGGCAGTGTCTTCTCTGGGTGTGTTGAAGATGTTTAGTGCTCGCCGTCTGCAGTCTCTGATGAAGTGACGAGGATAGTGGAGTTTGGAAAATACCTGTTCAATTATAGTGCATTTTTCCCTCAAGGAACTCGTTGCTGCAGATTCTGAGTGCACGCAGGAAGAAGCCTATAATTACACCACGTTTGGTTTTGGTGTCGTGGTGAGAGTAGAAGTGGAGAAGATCGTTTTGGTTGGTGGGTTTTCGATAGACTTTAAAACGAAGTTCGTGGTCAGTTTTGCAGAGTAGAACATCAAGGAAAGGAAGAGTGTTGTCGACCTCTTCTTCAAGTGTGAACTGGATTGAAGGCTCGACCTGGTTGAGCTTGTCTGGAGAGCTTGAACGTTGAAGCGTTTAGGAGTTTATGAGGAGAATGTCGTCAACATAACGGAGCCAGGTGACAGACGAAGGAATAATGGTGGAGAAACGTTCGGCTTCTAGATGTTCCATGTATAGGTTCGCTAGGACTGCACTGAGTGGCGAACCCATGGGTAGTCCAAAAGTCTGCTGAAAGAGGTGATTTTCAAAAGAGAAACACGTAAAGCCAACACATAGTTCAACCAGGTCGATGAAGTCGCTGGCTGGAATGGGAAGATCAAGTAAAATCGTCAATTTTTTGCGCAAGAGATCGATGGCTTGTTTAGTAGGTACTTTAGTGAATAGGGAAGTCACGTCAAGGCTGGAAAGTTTTTTGTTCCTGATGTTGATGTTGCGAATGCGACTGAGAAGATCACCTGAGTGTTTGAGATGTGCTGGACTGATAGTGCCCAAGAGTTTCGAGAGGTGTTTGGCGAGAATTCCTGAGAGCTTGTGGGGAGCACTGCCTATTCCCGAGGATATGGGCCTCAGTGGGATACCAGGCTTGTGAGTCTTTGGCAGGCCGTACATTCTGGCAGGTCTGGGGTTGCTGGGCCATGGTGTGCAGAAGTTTTCTTCCCTTGTTTTTGAGCTCCTCAGAATGCGGCGAGTCCTTTGAAGAAAAGTTTTAGTAAGGTTGTCCACTTGGTTAGTTGTGAGAGGTTTGTAGGTATCTGGGTCATTAAGTAGATTGAGCATTTTGTTCCTGTAATCGTCAGTGTTCATGATGACAACACCACCTCCTTTATCAGCGGTGGTGACCCTGATGGTCGTGTCTTCTGCTAAACCTTTGAGTGCATTGATGTAACGTCGGGGTATGACTGGGGAGCTGCGTGTTGAGATGGCTGCTGAGATGATGCCTTGAAGATAGCCTTTTTGGAAGTCGGAGTCATTGTGTCTGTAGTTTTTGGCGATGAAATTGAGGTCTTGTTTTGGTTTCGTAATTCCTGTTGCGAATTTGAGGCCTAAGCTGAGGGCTTCAGTTTCTGTGGTTGACAGTGGACGAGATGAAAGATTTTGAATAATTTCAGGTCTTCCTAAACTTTTCCAATTACTATTATCGCAGAGTGTTTGTAGTTTCCTAGTAAGTCTGATCTTCTGTTGAACATTCGCTGTGGTAACTCTGCTGCGAATGATTTCGGCGGTGCGTCTGTTCATGTTGCCCCGGAGTGTTGTGCCTAGTGTTCTGGCTTGGAGAAAAGCTTCCTTTGTAGCATTGTTTAAGTCATCTGCACACTCTTCAAGGTAGGTCCGAGCTGTAGCGGAGAAAGGTGGTTTGATGTTGGCAATTTGAGGAGGAGTAGATCTTGGTAAGACCATTTCTTGGATGCAGTCACGAAGCCTTCAATCCAGTTCACACTTGAAGAAGAGGTCGACAACACTCTTCCTTTCCTTGATGTTCTACTCTGCAAAGCTGACCACGAACTTCGTTTTAAAGTCTATCGAAAACCCACCAACCAAAACGATCTTCTCCACTTCTACTCTCACCACGACACCAAAACCAAACGTGGTGTAATTATAGGCTTCTTCCTGCGTGCACTCAGAATCTGCAGCAACGAGTTCCTTGAGGAAGAATGCACTATAATTGAACAGGTATTTTCCAAACTCCACTATCCTCGTCACTTCATCAGAGACTGCAGACGGCGAGCACTAAACATCTTCAACACACCCAGAAAGACACTGCCGAGAAGAGATACATAGTCCTTCCACCAACTCACATTGCCAAACATGTTTCCAACATCTTTGCCAAAACATCATTCCAAGTATCTACCTCCACAACCACGACCATCAAGGACATCACCAGTAGTAGGCAGGACAAGCCTCCATCCTCTGCAGGGGTATACATAATCCCTTGTAATGACTGCAACAAGTTATACGTGGGCGAAACATCAAGGGACCTCCAAACACGTATTTCAGAACACCAATACGCAAGCAGGTCTGACGACACAAGGAATGCCTGCGTACAACACCGTAATTCACACAACCACTTGAAAAACTACAGAAACTCAAGACTTATCGCCACAGAAGACAACACCCAATACCGAAGAATCCTGGAATCATCACTTATTTCTATATCCGACAACTTCAACCAGAATAGTGGCTTCTATAACATAGCTGAACCACTTGCCAAGAAACTTCTTCATCGCTATCCCACATAAGAACACTGTAGAAGGTCTGCTCACAAACTTGTCCAGTCTCCTTTCCAAGCTACCCAAGTTTTTTTGACTCTACAACCCAACTCGGAACATCATCAGATGCAGCTTTCTTCACCTGACCTCAGCCGGACTATAAATACTCGCGTTCCTTCCACCCCAGGTAGTTCTGTTTGTGACTTGAAAAAGCCCACTGTGTGGGCGAAACGTAGTCAATAAAGGATCACATTATACTGCATTTGTGTTTATATTGCCATTGTGTCGGTATTTTATACCATTTATTTCCATCGTGTCAAACACTGCAGTAGAAATGGATCCTTCACACAGAGAATACCTGGACCTTCTCCTAAAAGCTTACTCACTTCGCAACAGACAATTTTCTTCGTGACTGCATCCAAGAAATGGTCTTACCAAGATCTACTCCTCCTCAAATTGCCAACATCAAACCACCTTTCTCCGCTACAGCTCGGACCTACCTTGAAGAGTGTGCAGATGACTTAAACAATGCTACAAAGGAAGCTTTTCTCCAAGCCAGAACACTAGGCACAACACTCCGGGGCAACATGAACAGACGCACCGCCGAAATCATTCGCAGCAGAGTTACCACAGCGAATGTTCAACAGAAGATCAGACTTACTAGGAAACTACAAACACTCTGCGGTAATAGTAATTGGAAAAGTTTAGGAAGACCTGAAATTATTCAAAATCTTTCATCTCGTCCACTGTCAACCACAGAAACTGAAGCCCTCAGCTTAGGCCTCAAATTCGCAACAGGGAAATTTCGAAACCAAAACAAGACCTCAATTTCATCGCCAAAAACTACAGACACAATGACTCCGACTTCCAAAAAGGCTATCTTCAAGGCATCATCTCAGCAGCCATCTCAACACGCAGCTCCCCAGTCATACCCCGACGTTACATCAATGCACTCAAAGGTTTAGCAGAAGACACGACCATCAGGGTCACCACCGCTGATAAAGGAGGTGGTGTTGTCATCATGAACACTGACGATTACAGGAACAAAATGCTCAATCTACTTAATGACCCAGATACCTACAAACCTCTCACAACTAACCAAGTGGACAACCTTAAATAAAACTTTTCTTCAAAGGACTCGCCGCATTCTGAGGAGCTCAGAACAAGGGAAGAAACTTCTGCACACCATGCCCAGCAACCCCAGACCCGCCAGAATGTACGGCCTGCCAAAGACTCACAAGCCTGGTATCCCACTGAGGCCCATATCCTCGGGAATAGGCAGTGCTCCCCACAAGCTCTCAGGAATTCTCGCCAAACACCTCTCGAAACTCTTGGGCACTATCAGTCCAGCACATCTCAAACACTCAGGTGATCTTCTCAATCGCATTCGCAACATCAACATCAGGAACAAGAAACTTTCCAGCCTTGACGTGACTTCCCTATTCACTAAAGTACCTACTAAACAAGCCATCGATCTCTTGCGCAAAAAAATTGACGATTCACTTGATCTTCCCATTCCAGCCAGCGACTTCATCGACCTGGTTGAACTATGTGTTGGCTTTACGTGTTTCTCTTTTGAAAATCACCTCTTTCAGCAGACTTTTGGACTACCCATGGGTTCGCCACTCAGTGCAGTCCTAGCGAACCTATACATGGAACATCTAGAAGCCGAACGTTTCTCCACCATTATTCCTTCGTCTGTCACCTGGCTCCGTTATGTTGACGACATTCTCCTCATAACTCCTAAACGCTTCAACGTTCAAGCTCTCCAAGACAAGCTCAACCAGGTCGAGCCTTCAATCCAGTTCACACTTGAAGAAGAGGTCGACAACAACTCTTCCTTTCCTTGATGTTCTACTCTGCAAAGCTGACCACGAACTTCGTTTAAAGTCTATCGAAAACCCACCAACCAAAACGATCTTCTCCACTTCTACTCTCACCACGACACCAAAACCAAACGTGGTGTAATTATAGCTTCTTCCTGCGTGCACTCAGAATCTGCAGCAACGAGTTCCTTGAGGAAGAATGCACTATAATTGAACAGTATTTTTCCAAACTCCACTATCCTCGTCACTTCATCAGAGACTGCAGACGGCGAGCACTAAACATCTTCAACACACCCAGAGAAGACACTGCCGAGAAGAGATACATAGTCCTTCCCACCAACTCCCTTGCCAAACATGTTTCCAACATCTTTGCCAAACATCATTCCAAGTATCTACCTCCACAACCACGACCATCAAGGACATCACCAGTAGTAGGCAGGACAAGCCTCCATCCTCTGCAGGGGTATACATAATCCCTTGTAATGACTGCAACAAGTTATACGTGGGCGAAACATCAAGGACCTCCAAACACGTATTTCAGAACACCAATACGCAAGCAGGTCTGACGACACAAGGAATGCCTGCGTACAACACCGTAATTCACACAACCACTTGATAAACTACAGAAACTCAAGACTTATCGCCACAGAAGACAACACCCAATACCGAAGAATCCTGGAATCATCACTTATTTCTATATCCGACAACTTCAACCAGAATAGTGGCTTCTATAACATAGCTGAACCACTTGCCCAAAAAACTTCTTCATCGCTATCCACATAAGAACACTGTAGAAGGTCTGCTCACAAACTTGTCCAGTCTCCTTTCCAAGCTACCCAAGTTTTTAGACTCTACAACCCAACTCGGAACATCATCAGATGCAGCATTCTTCACCTGACCTCAGCCGGACTATAAATACTCGCGTTCCTTCCACCCCAGGTAGTTCTGTTTGTGACTTGAAAAAGCCCACTGTGTGGGCGAAACGTAGTCAATAAAGGATCACATTATACTGCATTTGTGTTTATGCTGCCGTGTTCCTTCCTTAAGTGAATGTGACCTGACCTGACTAGGTTGGGGCATTGGCTTAAGCCGGTAGGAGACTTGGACCTGCCTCACATGAGCCAGTAGGCCTGCTGCAGTGTTCCTTCTTTGTTATGTTCTTACATTAACTCACCTGGCAGGCGTCCTTGTCGTCCCCACCGGCACATAAGTTAGCTGGGTACACCATGAAGAAACTACGATGGTAATATATATCTTGACAGGCAGCGTCACTCTTCACCGTCACCTGAAACAACTCACCAATTACTAACATATAAGAAATTAATACTTTGTATCAGATTTCCTGCGTGTCAGGATATTAGCTTTGTTTACAAATTGATGGATATTTACCTGGGGATTGGCAGAGAGCATGCATAGTTCCTTTGTATAAAGGCAAAGGGGACAAAAGAGAGTGCAAAAATTATATAGAGGGATAAGTCTGAACATTAAAATGGTATAAAATACCGACAGGTTGTTAGGTAAGACACATATGCAACAGTTAGGTATCTTTATTTTGAAACGTTTCGCCTACACAGTAGGCTTCTTCAGTCGAGTACAGAAAAGTTGATAGAAGCAGAAGATACTTGAAGACGATGTAATCAGTCCATCACCCTTAAAGTTTTGAGGTGGTCAGTCCCTCAGTCTGGAGAAGAGCATTGTTCCGTTGTCTGAAACAATATGAAGTTGAAGTGACAGAATGGGGCCTTTATATAGTGCCAGGAGGTGAGACGTAGGTCACTAGGAGAGGTAAGAACTCAGATGTTGGGAGGACAGGTCCCTCTCAAATCCTGCCGTTCTCACTAGTAGAGGTTGTCGAAGTTGATTGTAGGTCTGTACCAAGATACCCTTGTGTTGGACTGAAGAAGCCTACTGTGTAGGCGAAATAAAGATACCTAACTGTTGCATATGTGTCTTACCTAACAACCTGTCGGTATTTTATACCATTTTATTGTTCAATCTGTCTGACACTGCAACACAAGGGTATGAACAATAAAATGGTATAAAATACCGACAGATTGTTAGGTAAGACACATATGCAACAGTTAGGTATCTTTATTTCGAAACGTTTCGCCTACACAGTAGGCTTCTTCAGTCGAGTACAGAAAAGTACTCCACTATATAAAGGCTCCATCCTGTCACTTCAACTTCATATTGTTTCATACCATGGAACAATGCTCTTCTCCAGACTGAGGGACTGACCACCTCAAAACTTTAAGGGTGATGGACTGATTACATCGTCTTCAAGTATCTTCTGCTTCTATCAACTTTTCTGTACTCGACTGAAGAAGCCTACTGTGTAGGCGAAACGTTTCGAAATAAAGATACCTAACTGTTGCATATGTGTCTTACCTAACAACACAAGGGTATCTTGGTACAGACCTACAATCAACTTCGACAACCTCTACTATTGAGAACGGCAGGATTTGAGAGGGACCTGTCCTCCCAACATCTGAGTTCTTACCTCTCCTAGTGACCTACGTCTCACCTCTTGGCGCTATATAGGCTCCATCCTGTCACTTCATCTCCATATTGTTTCATACCTTGGAACAATGCTCTTCTCCAGACTGAGGGACTGACCACCTCAAAACTTTAAGGGCGATGGACTGATTACATCGTCTTCAAGTATCTTCTGCTTCTATCAACTTTTCTGTACTGGACTGAAGAAGCCTACTGTGTAGGCGAAACGTTTCAAAATAAAGATACCTAACTGTTGCATATGTGTCTTACCTAACAGGGATAAGTCTGTTGAGTATACCTGGTAAAGTGTATGGTAGAGTTATTATTGAAAGAATTAAGAGTAAGACGGAGAATAGGATAGCAGATGAACAAGGAGGCTTTAGGAAAGGTAGGGTGTGTGTGGATCAGGTGTTTACAGTGAAACATATAAGTGAACAGTATTTAGATAAGGCTAAAGAGGTCTTTGTGGCATTTATGGATTTGGAAAAGGCGTATGCCAGGGTGGATAGGGGGGCAATGTGGCAGATGTGCAGGTGTATGGTGTGGAGGTAGGTTACTGAAAGCAGTGAAGAGTTTTTACGATGATAGTGAGGCTCAGGTTAGAGTATGTAGGAGAGAGGGAGATTATTTCCCAGTAAAAGTAGGCCTTAGATAAGGTGGTGTGATGTCCCCGTGGTTGTTTAATATATTTATAGAGGGGGTTTGAAAGAAAAGGTAAATGCGAGGGTCTTGGCAAGAGGCGTGGAGTTAAAAGATAAAGAATCACACATAAAGTGGAGTTGTCACAGCTGCTCTTTGCTGATGACACTGTGCTCTTGGGAGATTCTGAAGAGAAGTTGCAGAGATTGGTGGATGAGTTTGGTAGGGTGTGTAAAAGAAGAAAATTAAAAGTGAATATAGGAAAGAGTAAGGTTATGAGATGACAAAAAGATTAGGTGATGAAAGATTGGATATCAGATTGGAGAGAGAGAGTATGGAGGAGGTGAATGTATTCAGATATTTGGAGTGGACGTGTCAGTGGATGGGTCTATGAAAGATGAGGTGGAATCATAGAATTGATGAGGGGAAAAGGGTGAGTGGTGCACTTAGAGTCTGTGGAGACAAAGAACTTTATCCTTGGAGGCAAAGAAGGGAATGTATGGAGTATAGTTTTAACCAACGCTCTTATATGGGTGTGAAGCATGGGTGATGAATGTTGCAGCGAGGAGAAGGCTGGAGGCAGTGGAGATGTCATGTCTGAGGGCAATGTGTGGTGTGAATATAATGCAGAGAATTCGTAGTTTGGAAGTTAGGAGGAGGTGCGGGATTACCAAAACTGTTGTCCAGAGGGCTGAGGAAGGGTTGTTGATGTGGTTCGGACATGTAGAGAGAATGGAGCGAAACAGAATGACTTCAAGAGTGTATCAGTCTGTAGTGGAAGGAAGGCGGGTAGGGGTCGGCCTAGGAAAGGTTGGAGGGAGGGGTAAAGGAGGTTTTGTGTGCGAGAGGCTTGGACTTCCAGCAGGCATGTGTGAGTGTGTTTGATAGGAGTGAATGGAGACAAATGGTTTTTAATACTTGACGTGCTGTTGGAGTGTGAGCAAAGTAACATTTATGAAGGGGTTCAGGGAAACCGGCAGGCCGGACTTGAGTCCTGGAGATGGGAAGTACAGTGGCCAGCACTCTGAAGGAGGGGTGTTAATGTTGCAGTTTAAAAACTGTAGTGTAAAGCACCCTTCTGGCAAGACAGTGATGGAGTGAATGATGGTGAAAGTTTTTCTTTTTTGGGCCACCCTGCCTTGGTGGGAGCGGCCCATGTGTAAAAATAAAAAAAAATTTACAAAAATTTTTGAATGAAAAAAAAATATGCAGGTAGAAAAGGGGTTTTTTGTTCGGGTTTTTAAACCAGGGTTACCCCCCCCCATGAAGCCCAAGAGTGTAGTGCTTGCAAACAGATGTTAAATTTAAACCAAAAGGTTTTTACCAGTCTTGGGCCCCTTTCAAGTGCCAGAAACATGTTTTAAAAAAAAAAAAACCCTTCGCTTTAATTCCCCCAAAAAAAAAATAAAAAAAAAAAATTTTTAAAATTTTTGCCAAATGGGGTGGGGGATGGCAACCAAACTACCCGGAGAGGCCATTGCATGGCCTTTGGGGATTTGATGGGCATATGACCTTTATCTTTCCAAAATTAAACATTATCATCCATTTCAAAGGGGTTATCATCCCTTCCCCCCAACAAACCAATACCCCTTTTCCCAACCCCTTTTTTTTACTTATCTCTCTAAATTTTTATTAAATTTCTTTCTTTTTTTAAACAAACCCCCAAACTTTAATTTTCAAAAATTCTATATAAACTCCCCCCATAACTTACCTCCTTCCCTTTTCCCCCTTCCAATTTTCCCCCCCCTTTCCCCTCCAAATTCCCCCTTCCCTTTAAACAACAAAGGGGAAACCCCTTTTATCCCCAATCCTAAAATTTAAACCACTTTAAAACCCAACTAAATTTTAAATAACCCCACAAATTTTAAAAAATTTACCCAAAAATTTTAAAAACCCTTACAAAATTTTTCCCTAAAAAATTAAAATTAACCCCAAAACCCTTTATTTATTTTTAAAACCCCAAAATAAACCCTTATTTTAAAATTTTAAACCCCACTTAACCCCATTCCAACTACCACTTATACCACTTAAACCCCCCAAACTTTCCCCCTTTAACACCACTTAAAAATCAAATACCCCTTTACCATTACAACCATTACCCCCATTCCAAACTACCCATACCCCCCACTTCCCCCCTTACCCCATTACTTCCCCACCATAAAACCCTTACTTACACCCCCTTTAACCCACCAAACATTCCAACCCAACTTACCCTATACCCCCCCAACTAACACCCTATCCAAACTTCCCCAATCCCCAAACCCCCCCCCCTTCAACCCACTTACCCCCCTTAAAAATACCACATCCCCCCCAAACTTAACCCCACTTTACCACTTATTAACACCCCAAATTTTTTACTTAACTACCATTAACCCATTCCCCAACTACCCCCTTACTACCATTTTAAAACCCTTTACTTAACACCACTTTAACCCCCACAAAATAACCCCCCATTACTACCATTTACTTAAACCCACCACTTATACCATTACTTAAACCCATACTCCAACTTAACACCACTTTAGAAACACCCTTAAAAATTTTAACACATTTGGACACAAAAACCAATTTACACCATTACTCCACACTTAAATCCATTTAACCCCTATTAAACCCCCCTTTTACTACCATTTACTATACCACTGGATACCACTTACGAACCCCCAAAAAACCACTTCTGAAACCCACCACTCCCATTTAAAAATGGTACCCCTTACTGTAACCCCCACGAAAACTCCCATTACTGTAACACCCCGTGACTACCCTTACTGTAACTACCACTGTGCCTCCCAATTTAATTTTGAAACCCCAACCACTGTCCACCCACTTATGTAACACCACGTGACTCCCATTACTGTAACCCACTGTACCCCACTTACGGGTAACCCCCGGAAACCCCCCTTTTGTAACTACCACTGGACTCCCCACTTAAACTGTAAACCCACCCCCCTGTGATACCACTTCTGTAACACCACTGTGACTCCCACTTACTGTAACCACCAGTACTACCACTTACTGTAACCACCACGGGGGATAAATTCGAAACACCACTGTGCTCCCACTTACTGAAACCACCACTGTGACTCACTTACTGTAACCCCATGTGACTACCACTTCTGAACCCCCCCCTGTGACTACCACTTA